TTATTTATTTATTTATTTATTTATTTATTTATTTATTTATTTATTTATTTATTATTATTTATTTATTTATTTATTTATTTATTTATTTATTTATTTGTTTATTTATTTATTTATTATTATTATTTATTTATATATTTCCTTATTTTATTTATTTATTGTTATTTATTATCTACCTATTTATTTATTTAGTTATTTATTCAGTTATTTATTTATTTAGTTAGTTAGTTAGTTAGTTAGTTGTTTTATTTGTTTATTTATTTTTTTGTTTATTATTTAGTTATTTGGTTATTATTTAGTTATTTATCTATTTATTTATTATTTAGTTAGTTATTTATTTAGTTATTTTGTTATTTATTAATCTATTATTTGTTTATTTATTATTTATTTATTTGTTTATTATCTAGTTATTTGCTTATTGTTTAGCTATTTAGTTATTCGGTTATTTTTTGCTATTTAGCTATCTACTATTTGTTTATTTATTTAGTTTTTTTTCATTTATTTATTATTTATTTATTTATTTATTTATTTATTTATTTATTTATTTATTTATTTATTTATTTATTTATTTATTATTTATTATTTATTCGTTTAGTTAGCTAGTTAGTTAGTTGTTTAGTTTTAATTATGCTTTTGGTTGTAAACTTTTTATTTATTCGAATTCTTTTTTGGAATTCTTTTTTTGTTTTTTTCAATTCCCTTTTGAGTTTTCTTTTTTGACTCTTTTGTCTCCTTTTTGTGTTTCTTTTTGTTTCTTTTTTGTCTCTTTTTAATTCTTTTTTAATCATTTTTTGTTCATTTCTTTATCTCTTTTTGTCTATTTCTTTATCTCTTTTTGTTTATTTCTTTATCTCTTTTTGTTTATTTTATTAATCTTTTCTTTGCTTCTTTTTGTCTCTTTCTGTTTCTTTTTATTTCCTTTTTTCTCTTTTTCGTCTTTTCCGTTTTTCTCCTTTTGACTCATTTCCCATTTCTTTTCAAAGGCAGCAGCAGCAGCAGCAAAGGCAGCAGCAGCAGCAGCAAAGGCAGCAGCAGCAGCAGCAAAGGCAGCAGCAGCAGCAGCAAAGGCAGCAGCAGCAGCTGCTGCTGCCCCTGCTGCAGCAAAGGCAGCAGCAGCCGCTTCTGCTGCTTCAACAAAGCTAGCAGCAGCAAAAGTAGCTTCAGCAGTAGCAGCCGCAGCCGCAGATGGAGCAGCAGCAGCAGCAGCTGCTGCTGCTGCCGCTGCTGCAGCAACTGCAGCAACTGCAGCAACTGCAGCAACTGCAGCAACTGCAGCAACTTTGCTTCTTTTTTTTTCTGATTTTCTTTTAAATGAATTAAATGGAATTCTTTTAAATTCAGGTGTACGTGCACCTCGCAAGTGTCTCCTTTTCTTTTTTTATTTGGAGAGAAATAAAAAGAAATAAAAAAAAATAAAATAAATCAAAAAAAGATGAAAAAGATAAAACAAATAATAAAAGAATAAAGAAATAAAAAAGGTAAAATATATTTAAAAGATAAATAAAAGATAAAACAGACAATAAAAGAATAAATAATAAAAGATAAAATGAATACTAAAAGGTAAAAGAATAAAAAGAGATAAAATAAATAAACAAAATAAGAAATTAAAAGACAAAAAAATAAATAAATAAAACAAAATGGGGGACTTATACACAAATATGCATTTTAGTCTTTTTGCAAAACTTGAAATCTAAAATGAATTCTAATTTAATTTAATTTAATTTAATTTAATTTAATTTAATTTAATTTAATTTGATTTAATTTAATCTAAAGTTGAATTTAAAATCACTCAAACTTCAAATAGTCTCTTTTGATTTAAAGAGACTTTTGTTTTTTTTTAAAAATGAAAAGATGGCGGAAGAGGCAGCTGCTGCTGCATGCAGCGCGCTCGAAGCCCTGCTGCTGCAGCAGCTGCTGCAGCTGCTGCAGCAGCGGGGGCTCTGCCTGTGCTGCTGCTGCTGCTGCTTCCGCGGGGTCCCTGAGGAAGATGGGAGCAGCAACTTCCACCTGCTGCAGCAGCGGGTGCTGCAGCAGCAGCTGCAGCAGCAGCTGCAGCACGCGGGGGTCTGCGCGGGCCTCTGCATGCACGCAGCAGCTGCCGCCCTGCTCCCCCAGCAGCAGCAGCTGCAGCAGCTGCAGCGGGGGCCTTGCTGCTGCTGGCAGCGCCACTGCAGCAGCAACAAACTGCAGGCAGCTCCGCAGCTGCTGCTGCGTCTTCGGGGCTGCATGCACTGCCAGCCCCACACACTTCGCCCGCAGTTTGCTGCTGCAGCAAACTTGCTGCAGCAGCAAACTGTCGCACTGCAGCAAAGCAGCACCAGCTGGCTGCCGCCAGGGGCCCCCCTGCAGCCCGTGGTGCCCCAAGACAAACGCATGCAGCTGCTGCAGCAGCGGCAGCACGCACAGCTGCAGCAGCGAGCCCATGCACATGCTGCTGCTGCTGCTGCTGCTGCTGCCGCTGCTGCTGTTGCTGCTGCTGCTGCTGCTGTTGCTGCTGCTGCTTTTCCCACCGGGTTTGTCTGTTGCTGCTGCTGCAGCGAAGGCAGCAGCGGGTGAGCCCCCGCTGCGCCTGGCTAAGCAGCAGCCAACGGGGCAGCAGCAGCAGCAGCAGCAGCAGCAGCAGCAGTGCTGCTCCGCCTTGTCTGTGCTGCACCGCTGAGCAGCAGCAGGAAGCCCAGTGACCCATATGCTGGTCACTCTGGTGCTTCCAAACCCCTTCTCCTTGGCAGCAGACGCAACCTGCTGCTGCTGCAGCTGCTGCTGCTGCTGCTGCTGCTGCTGCTGCAGCTGCTGCTGCTGCTGCTGCTGCTGCAGCTGCTGCTGCTGCTGCTGTTGCTGCTGCTGTTGCTGCTGTTGCTGCTGCTGCAGATACTGTGTGTGGCGCAGCCCCGTGAGGGGCGCGCTAACCTGCCTTAAGTCCAGCGCAATGCTGCGGGCATTGACAGCAGCAAGACACATCTCTGCTGCTGCTGCTGCTGTTGCTGCTGCTGCTGCTGTTTCTGTTGCTGCTGCTGCTGTCTCTGAGCTGGCGGGGAACTCAACTCCCCGTGAGACCTGCTGCGGCTGCACCTGCTGTTGCTGCGGTTGTTGCCGTTGCTGCTGCTGCTGCTGCTGCTGCTGCTGCTGCTGCTGCGCTGTGCAGCGCAGCAGCAAACGTGGCTGCTGCTCCCCGCCAGCAACGCTGGGGTATGTAGGAATGGTCCTGATGTTTGGGGGTGGCGGCAGCAGCCGGCGCTGTTCTGCTGCTGCTGCTGCTGCTGCTGCTGCGCTGCTGCTGAAGACAAGGTCCAGGTGCGTGGCCTGCTGCAGCAGCTGCAGCAGCAACTTGTCCTTTGCTGCAGCAGGTGCTGCTTCGGCCTGCAGGAACTGACACCTCACGCTGCAGCAGCTACTTGAGCTGTCTGTACACCCCAGACTCTCCAAAGAACGCCACATTGCCAAAGACGAAATCCGCCGAAGTCCCCCCACAACAAAAATGCTGCTGCTGCTCCAGGGGCCCCCCAGGGGGCCCCCAGCAGCAGCAGCGGGGGGCCTCTGCAGCAGCTGCTGCCCCAGCACCTCTGCTAGGTTCAGAAACACGCCTTCGCACACCCGCAGCGTGCGCTGCTGCTGCTGCTGCTGCTGCACTTGCTGCTGCTGCTGCTGCACTAGCTGCTGCTGCTGCTGCTGCTGCTGCTGCTGCTGCTGCTCGGGGGAGAAAAGGGCCCTCCAGAAGCAGCGGGGAGGCGGCAGCGCCATCTCCAAGTGGAGGTGCTGCAGCTGCTGCATCTGCTGCACAAGAGAAAGGAGATCTGCTGCTGCTGCTGCAGGCCCGTAGGGCGGCGGCAGCGTGTGCTGCTGAATGCATGCGCATGCAACAGTGAAGCTGCTGCAGCAGGGGAAGCAGCAGCAGCGCAGCAGCCGCAGCCACAGGAAGGACTGGCAGCCCTGCAGCTGCAGCGACTCCAGCTGGCTGAAGCAGACACCGGAGAGAGCAGCAGCAGCAGCAGACACTGCTGCTGCTTGCTGCTGCAGCACGCAGCCTCCCTGCTGCGCCCCCTCCGCGCCCGCCTCAGCCCCCTCCTGCTGCTGCTGCTGCTGCTGCTGCTGCTGCTGCTGCTGCTGCTGCTGCTGCTGCTGCTGCTTGTGGGCAAAGGGGCCCTCGGGAGGCAGCTGCTGCCAGTCACTGGGCCCCAAGACAAAGCCCTGGGAGCAGCAATCTTTAGAAGCAATTAAAAGCTGCTTCAGGCTGCTGCTCTGCTGCCGCAGCAGCAGCAGCAGCTGCAGCGGCGGGAAATGCCCCAACACTCTGCTGCTCAAAGACAGCGAAGATACCCGCCCAGGGAACTCAGACATCAACAAAGGGACCACTGAGCTGCTGCTGCTGCTGCTGCTGCTGCTGCTGTTGCTGCTGCTGCTGCTGCTGCTGCTGCTGCTGTTGCTGCTGCTGCTGTTGCTGCTGCTGTTGCTGTTGCTGTTGCTGCTGCTGCCGGTGTTGGGTCCGCTGCTGCTACTGCTGCTGCTAGCATTGACGCTGCTGCCGCTGCTGCAGCTGCTGCTGCTGCTGCTGCTGAATCCCGTGTTGCTGTTGCTGCTGCTGCTGCTGCTGCTGCTGCTGCTGCAGCTGTCTGCTGCTGCTGCTGCTGGCGGGCTGCTGTCGTCCTGCAGCCAGCGCCTTCCCGAGTGAAGCCTCGCGCTGCAGCCGCGCAGCAGCAGCTCCCCCTGCAGCAGCAAACGCCAGAGAGGAGCAGCAGCAGCAGCAACTCGCGGCAGCTCGTCCACAGTGAAGTGTTTAAACAGCAGCAGCAGCAGAGGCTTTGGCAGCAGCAGCAGCTTGCACGGGGCGACGGAGGGGGCCCAGCAAGTTGCTTCGTCCGTTGCTGCAGCAGCAGCAGCTGCTGCTGGCACAAGCAAGAACATGAGAGCAGCTGGCGCTCCGTTTCCCGCTAGGGGCGTCAGCGGTGAGAGGCAGCAGCCGCTTGCTGCTGCCGCTGCTGCTGCTGCTGCTGCTGCTGCTGTTGCTGCTGCTGCTGCTGCTGCTGCTGCTGTTGCTGCTGCTGCTGCTGCATTTGCAGCAGCAGCTGCTGCTGCTGCTGTAGGCTGCTGCTGCTTGCGAAGGCCTGCAGAGGCCGCAGCAGCAGCAGCAGCACTGAGCCCGCCCCAGCCCCCTGCATGCGGGTTTTGCTGCTGCCATGGGGCAGCACTTTGGCAACTGGGCTAAAGCCTAAGGGCCCTAGGCCCCAAACCCTAAACCCTAAACCCTAAACCCTAAACCCTAAACCCTAAACCCTTGAGCCCAAACCCTCGCTCCCGGAAAACGCGAGTGAGGAGTGGCATAGGACTGACGGGCAGAGACTCAATTGAGTAAAAACTGGACCCGACGAGGGTTTAGGGTTTGGAGTTAGGGTTTTGGCGTTTAGGGTTTAGGGTTTAGGGTTTAGGGTTTAGGCCTCGGCTTTCGGGTCATATATTGGCCTTGAGGCTGCAGTCACGCCTGGGGAAAAGGGAAAAAGCCCGTGGGAGGCCTCCCGGGTTTAGGGTTTAGGGTTTAGGGTTTAGGGTTTGGGAGGAATGGGTGTGTCCGTGTTGAGGGTTTAGGGTTTAGGGTTTGGAGCGGGTCATTGGGGCTGTAGGGGAAATGGAAAAGGAGGAAAAAGAAAGATGAGACAGAGTCACTTGAGGCCTGGGAGGCCCTGGGGGGCCCCTGGGGGCCCCTGAGCCCCGCAAGAAGTGAAAAGAAGTCCTTTTTGGATTTAAATGGATTAAAAAGTCCTTAAAGAAGTCTGGAGGGGTAAAACCAAAGAAAGTCTTCTCGCGGGTTCGCGGGGTGTCGAGACGGCGGGCCGCGGCGGCGCGGACTGGCTGCTGCGCCGGCTGCTGCTGCAGCAAATGAACTTTTTGGAAGAAACTAAAAGGAAATAAATAAATTAAATGACAAAACAAAGTTTGAAGAGCCTTCTCCGAGCTCTGCCGAGCTGTCGATACACCCCAGCCGCGCCGCCGCGATGCGCTCGCGCCCGCGCCGCCGTCTCGACGCCGGCGGCGCGATTTGGGGCTTTTCTTTAGCCTCTAATCAAATTTAAAAGCTTAAATGAGTTTATAATGGCTAATTAAGTTTATTTCGAGCTTTGTTTGGCTGCAAAGGCTTCGAAAATGCCCCAAAAGGGACCCGCGGCCGCGCCGTGCTCGAGGCCGCGCGGCTGCCAGGCGCCGAGTGTCCGTACACCGCAGCGCCCGCGCCTCTCCGCAGTTTTTCTTCTTTTTTGGACTTTTTCAGATAAATAAATCCAAAAAAAGACAAATAAGAGACTCTGAGGGGCCCAGGATGGCTCTGGCGAGCTGCAGCGAGCAAAATAAGTCCTTAACTGCTTTATTTGGCCCTAAACCAGCGCCCACAGCCATTCCCAGCCAACTCTGCACACATTTCAGCCCCTGGGGCCCCACAGCCAATTCAGCTGCTGCTGCTTTCTACTGCATGCGTTTTTGGGGCTGTTTTGCTTCTCTGGAGCCCCACACTGCAGCAGCAGCAGCAGCAGCAGCAACAGCAGCAGCAACGCAGCTGCTAAGTAGGCGCTGCGCTAGCTGCAGCTAGCTGCGGCTAGCTGTGGCTAGCTGTGGCTAGCTGTGGCTAGCTGTGGCTGGCTGCAGCTAGCTGCGGGTCTGGCCGCAGCTACTTGTGGCTAAATGCAGCTAGCTGCGGCTGGCCGTGGCTAGCTGTGGCTAGCCGTGGCTAGCTGTGGCTAGCTGCAGCTAGCCACAGCTAGCTACAGCTAGCTGCAGCCAGGTGTAGCTAGCTGTAGCCAGATGTAGCTAGCTGCAGCTAACTACTACAGCTAGCTGTAGCCAAATGCAGCTAGCGGCAGCTAATTACTATAGCCAACTGCAGCTAGCCACAGCTAGCTGCAGAAGCCAGCAGCTAGCCACAGCTAGCCACAGCTAGCCACAGCTAGCCACAGCTTGCTGCAGATAGCCACAGATAGCCACAGATAGCTACAGCTAGCTGCAGCTAGCTGCTGCAGCTCACTTGGCAGGTATCTCCCGCTACTTGTTTATTTATTATGATTGATTATTTCTTTTTTGCATTTATTATTATTTTATTATTACTTTTATTTATTTGCTTCGCCTTTTGGCGCTGCTGCTGCTGCTGCTGCTGCTGCCGCTGCTGCTGCTGAGAAAAGAGGGCCAGCTGTGTCTCTTCGGTGACAGGCAGTAGCTTGAAGGGCGAAATGTTGCACAGCGAAGTCAACAAACTGTTCACCAACGCGGGGGTGTTTCCCGCGCCCTGCATAAACCCTAAACCCTAAACCCTAAACCCTAAACCCTAAACCCTAAACCCTAAACCCTAAACCCTAAACCCCCCTAAACCCTAAACCCTAAACCCTAAACCCTAAACCCTAAAACCCTAAACCCTAAACCCTAAACCCTAAAGAAGGGCGAAATGTTGCACAGCGAAGTCAACAAACTGTTCACCAACGCGGGGGTGTTTCCCGCGCCCTGCATAAACCCTAAACCCTAAACCCTAAACCCTAAACCCTAAACCCTAAACCCTAAACCCTAAACCCTAAACCCCCCTAAACCCTAAACCCTAAACCCTAAACCCTAAACCCTAAAACCCTAAACCCTAAACCCTAAACCCTAAATAATCCAACCCTAAACCCTAAACCCTAAACCCTAAACCCTAAACCCTAAACCCTAAACCCTAAACCCTAAACTCTACATTTTAAACCCTAGTTTGGGCTCTGTCGCGGACGCGAGCTAGGCGCTACACTCTGCAAACCCTAGACGCCTCTAGGGTTTAGGGTTTAGGGTTTAGGGTTTAGCGTCTAGGGGCTGCATTCAGCAAACCCTAGATGCCTCTAGGGTTTAGGGTTTAGGGTTTAGGGTTTTCTCAACCCCACGCAGCTGCTGGGCCAGCAGCAGAGACAGAACCCAAAGGAGACAAAAGGAGACAGCAGCAAACAGACATCCGCCGCTCCAGCTAGCCACAGCTAGCCACAGCTAGCCACAGCTAGCTACAGCTAGCTACAGCTAGCTACAGCTAGCTACAGCTAGCCACAGCTAGCCACAGCTAGCTACAGATAGCCACAGCTAGCCACAGCTAGCTAGAGATGGCCACAGCTAGCCACAGCTAGCTGCAGCTAGCTCTGGCTAGCTGTAGCTAGCTACAGCTAGGCAGACAGACAAAAGGAGACAGTGGCGAAACAGCATTGTGGAATCATTTTCTTTCTGTCTTTTTCAGTTTTTTGTCTTTTTTTACTCCTTTTTAATCTTTTTTAATCCTTTTTTAATCTATTTTCTCCTTTTTTTCCCTCCTTTCCAATTTAAATCTCCTTTTGCTTCCTCCAGCTTTCTTTCTGTCTCCTTAAAGTCCCTTTTGTCTCTTTTTTATTTTTATTTTCTTTTTTTTATTTTCTTTTTTTGTTTTAACTCCAAGAAGACAAGTCGAGGCCCCTGCGGGCCACTTTGGGCCTTTTGGGGGCCAACGCGTAAAGAGCTGCTTCGCCCATAAGGTCTTGCGGGCGAGGGGGCACTCCTTTTGCTGCTGCTGCTGCTGCTGCTGCTGCTGCTGCTGCTGCTGCTGCTGCTGCAGGTCCAGCAGCAGGCAGGTACTTCCCCACTTTCCGCGAATGCCGCTCCGGGTGATTCGCCGAAAAGTCCAAAGCGTCTCTGTTGTTAAACCACGGACGAGCCTGCGCCTGCAGCAGCAGCAGCAGCAGCACAGGCAGCAGCAGCAGCAGCAGCAGCAGAAGCAGCAGCAGCAGCAGCAGCAGCAACAGCAAAAGGGAGATTTGGAAACACTTGGAGGCACTTTGGAGGCATTTTGGGCGCATTTTGGATCAAATTAAAGGGCAATTAAAAGCAAACTAAAGAACAATTAAAAACAAATTAAAAAGCAATTAAAAGTCAATTAAAAAGAATTAAAAAAGAATTAAAAAAGAATTAGAAAAGAATTAAAAAGGAATAAAAAGGAATAAAAAGACACTTAGAAAAAAGCAAAAAGAACGAAAACGGGAAAAGAAGACCCCGCGCGTGGGGTGTACGTACACCGCAGCTCACCTTGGCCTCCTCGGCCTCTTTGTTGAGTTTTTCATTTTTTTCTTTTTCGAGTTTTAATTTTGCTTCTTCAAATCCATTTTTGAAAATGTGCATTTTCTGAATGACTAAAGGCCGCTGGGGACGATCCCGGGAGTCCACTGGGATCGTCTCCCACGCCCGCAGCACCTCCAGGCCCCCCACCACTGCGCCCAGCAGCAGCAGCAGCAGCAGCAGCAGCAGCAGCAGCAGCAGCAGCAGCAGATGCAGATGCAGACGCGCCGAGACAGCAGCAGCCGAGATGCAGCAGCAGCGGCAGATGCGCAGCAGCAGCCACACAGATACACCACAGCAGCAGCAGAGCTACAACAGCAGCAGCAGCAGCAGCAGCAGCAGCAGCTCCATCACAGCAGCAGCAGCAGCAGCAGCAGCAGCAGCAGGAGGCCGTACCCCTTCCGAAGATGGTGTGTTTGCCGTCGAGGTGTTTGCAGGACTTGAAGGTGATGTAGAATTCGGAGAGGTTTTTTTTTCTGCTGCTGCTGCTGCTGCTGCTGCTGCTGCTGCTGCTGGCCATTCCCAAGACCCCAATGCCCTCGTGGCTGAGCTGCCCCAGCAGTTCGTCCTCAAAAGGCTCTCCGTCCTCGAAGCCGCTGCGGCTCACCATCGGCTGCCGCTGCTGCTGCTGCTGCTGCTGCTGCTGCTGCTGCTGCTGCTGCTGCTGCTGCTGCTGCTGCTGCTGCTGCTGCTGCAGGCGGAGTTCCGCGCGGCCCCCCTGCAGCAGGAAGTTGGGAATGAGTCTGTGGAAAGGAATGTTCTCGAAGTAGCTGCTGCTGCAGAGCCGCAGGAAGCTGTCTGCTGCTCGGGGCGCGAGGTGGCTGTACACCTCAAGGTTCAACGCCCCACAGTTTGTCTCCATTCGAACATAACTTTTTATTTTTTGCTGCTGGCAGCAAAAGTAGATTGGCAGCATTAGTTCGCGCTGCGTCAGGTGTCTGTACACCTGGACAGTCCGCCCCACAACTGCGGTCGAGGTGAAGCCGGCGGCTACGCGGTGGTCCGTGTACAGGTGGTGCCGCTGCGCTGCTGCTGCTGCTGCTGCTGCTGCGCTGCTGCTGCTGCTGCTGCTGCTGCTGCTGCTGCTGGGGGTGGGGGGGGGCGGGGA